ACTTTTCAGAATTCATTCTTGCGCTGACTTTCAAGCCAGAGAAATAAGCTATACTAAAAAATTTTATTGCTTCCTTAAATGTATACAGGGGTATCAAAAATTCCTGGTCTTTTTTAAATATTTATTTTACAGAAAAACTGCGTTATTTCAAATGCAACACTATGTATTTTTTTAAATAAGTTGAAGCATATTTAAATGCTTTTTTAAATTATATTACGGTTTCCTATAATACCTATCTGATTTTGAATAAAAAGCGATTTTTTAGTTTAGTTTATGGACTTTATAATTTTTTTTATAAAATTTTATTTTTTTTTAATTTTAAGTTAAAAAACATAATATCTTAATGATATGGTAACATAAGTAGTGTATTAGATTTTCTAGAAAGAAAGCCCAGAAAAGATCCAGTCGTTCTCAAAATTTAACCAAAAAGTCATACTTTCTTAAAATTTTCAAAGTAAAATAACGGTCGGTTATTTTTGAGTTATTTGCAAAACGGTAAAGAGAAAATATATTTCATTTATCGAGACCTACCAGCCCAAAAAAAATTTGCACTTATTTAAGACTCACCCTGTATAATACTTTACATTTAGCAAAAAAGTACACGTAATTCATATTATAGTTTATAATTTATATATTGTGTATAGTTAAAAACCCAATTAATATTAATATTTAATAATATACAAATAATTATATTTCCATGTATTAATTAACGGCTTTGAATATGAATATATTTTTTACATAAGTGTAAATTGTATATTAAGCCGCTAAAACCTATACATATTATGTAAACGGCTATATTTCGCTATAAATTAATTTGTCGTGTTAGACTAAAACTAATTAACCCCATTAAAGATAAAACCGCACTGAACTGATCCAAAACGAGTTATTTTAAATATGCTAATTTTTTGCATCGATTCAGTGGTTTAAAGTATTTTCAGATTTTTATTTTAAATGCTTGTTAAATTCTCTTAATTGATTAAATGCCAGAAAAGCTAGAACATATTTTAAATCAGCAAATTATAACATAGACTCCTATTTTATTGACATTAACACTGTGGGTTAAGCAAAGACATGAAGCATATTTTTATAATAATATACAAATTTATAGCTCACACTAACCCTTGAATTTATCAATTAGAAACATATTAATATGAAATAATTTAATTATGAAAGTAAAGATGTTACCCGAAATTGTTGTATTTCAATTGTTTAATTTTATTTAAAAACATATCTGGGTCGATGTCATGCAGGAAACCGATCCCTCGGGCCTACATCAAATTGATTTACTAGAATTATATTTTACAGGATTTTTCTTAATTTGATATAAATCCAAGTTTACATTTATTTAAGTCTTATTATTCGGCAATATATGCAATAGCAATAAGGACTTAGAAGTGGATAATGTCGACAACGTTATCAGGAACTATGCCTTAAGACATGAAGAGAGGACATTCCATCAGCACATCAACATCGAGGCCCATCAGCTCCTGGATAGTGATAACTTAGAAGACTGAAAAAAAAACATTTGTACTAGTGTAGTGAAAAGTGTTATTACAATCCAGTGCATTCTAGCATAGTTCTCCAACAGAACTGAGAGAACCAAAATTACTATCGTAGAATTAGTTATTTGTATATAACCGTAGCAAATTAAGTCAAAAATAAATAGCTTATTAGTGAAATTTTACTAGATTGCTATACTAAATTGCTCAAGGGTGATTTAAAAAAAAATCTTACTACGCAGCTAAAGTTTTGTACAGGGTGGCGCACGGTGGAAAGACCCAATATAAAATGTTGGACATTGACTTAAAAATAAAATTTTAAATTAAATAATTTTGGTAGAAGATTTGAATTACTTAAAGTCCAGACCGTTATATTTTATCCAACTCAAAAAAATATTTTTAATTATATGTCTGTTTGAAAAGTTTCAAATGAAGATATTACACTGACTTAATTATGGTATTCATTTCTTGTGAAACAACCTAGTTTTATAAAAACTGGCAAAGACATTAATAATTTTTTTTAACTATACATATTAGTGCAAACGATTGTTTTCACTTTAAAATAAAAGATATATATAGTCACAAAAGTTTGGGAGAACAATTGTATATAAGAGACACATAAACATTTTTTTGCTGCTAAATACTATATTTAGTAGCAAAAAAATGTGTATGTAGAAAAATAAAAAAATGGCCAAAGTTGGCCAAGACTTTATATATATCACAAGGTAGATTAAGCCTTTCTAATAACGAAACTAATTTAACATCTTGCCCCAGCTTGCCCCCCTCTAAAAATTTCCATTTAATATATTACTAATACATGCTATACTAAAATCAAAAACCTTTTCAATTCCAATAAATTAATTTAAAATTTTTAGAGTCAAATTATCTTTATTTTTTTATAAATTTATTAATATTTAATTATTAATTGGATAAATACAAAATGACGCTAAAATCAAAAACAGATACAGGGTGCTACAAATATATGGAAAACTTATAAACTATTGGAAAAAGAAAGAGGGTTAAAGTGCGTCTTGAGGTTTTTTGTTTGTAATAAAAATATTCTAGTGCGTTGATTTACTGTTATATTCTTTGCTTATAATAAAGTTATTGTACAGGGTATCCCACTAAGAATAGCTCTCGGCTATATCTCGGAAAGTATTAGCCGTGAGGCTTGCGGAAAAAATATTCATAACTAAAGAGACCATGAGAAAATGCTGGAAATTATTTTCAAATTTGTAGAATGGCCGCTAGAGGGCGCAACTGCTATAAAAAATAAGAAAATAGAGTTTTTACACAACTTTGCCTAGATAAGGGGTACTATAAATAATAGCTTCATAATCTTCAGTAAATTCTGAATATTTTTTGTTAGAACCATTTTCCCCTATCTGCCAAAATAAAGTGGTGGGGAAAGGTTAGATCTGTTTTTATTTAAATATTAATAATTCCGGACTGGATGGACGGAATCCAACTAACTGGAGCTCGTTTAAAATACCGTTTCTTACTCTATATTATACCATATAAACAATAACTGTAAGCTTTTGAACGTAGATGCTAGGGGGCGCTGTCTTACAAATTAACAAACATTGTGCGTTTTTTCAAAAAAAAATGCGATGGTATATGTCATTTTAGCTGATAATAAAGAGTAATGAAAGCTTAAAAAGTCAGTGAAAACCGCATCTTGATATCTTCTTTCAAATCGAAGATATTAGCAAAGTTATATTAAATAGGAAAATATATGTAAGCCCTTAATTACCATATTTTTATAACACGGTATCAGTAGTTTTAGATTTCAGTGGTAAAATCTAAAGCTATTTCTTTTTAAAAAGATCAAAACTAAAACATTCCACGACAGTTTGGCAAAGTTTATAAGCATTTAAAACTTGTAAGATTTTTCCAAAACATACTATATTTTTAGGTCACCCTGTAGATGGTTTGTAATGAGCCAACCACTTTCTTTCATTAAAATTTAAAATTGTTCTGCTTATACATTATTACGGTATATAAAAATCATTTTTTCGTCTTTTGGATTAAAAGTGTTGAGAAGAAAACCCCATGTCCAACAGTTCCCATAAGCTCGTTCCACTGTTTGGCGCCTCTCATACGCCGCGTAGGCTCCAAGGAGAACGACAGTTTGTATTGAAATGAAATTTTGTGAGCATATGTAGGTTAATTGAGAGCATATTTTAAAAATACAGAATGTTCTACAGGGTGTCCCCAAAAAAAGTTACATATCAAACTTGTGTTTTTTGTAACGGAACACCCTATATATTTATTGATTTTTGGATTCTGGGAGAAAAATAAAGGTGAGTTTTATAAGAGAAGTATATTACTAAAATGTAAAGTTTTAAACATATTTAACATTTTCTAGAAATAAAGAACATTTTTTAAATTACAATAAAAGCTACCTAAATTGAAATTTACCCGGTATAACCTAATATGTAGTTAAATTAACTATTGTACTATAAATCAAATTTAAACTTGATCCAAAAAGTTTTACAGAGTGAGACAAAATTAATATTGAACATTGGTTACCTTTAAAAACATATTACTCTCTTATTTTAAATGGAACACCCAGTATATTATTCCGATATTCAATGGAGAATTAATGTCTCTTCAAAATACTATTAAGGTTGCCTACCCCTCAAACAAAGATTTTTCTAGATATTTTCATTTACATGATTTGATCTGAGTAAATCTTTACTATTTGATAAAATCTAGGTGGCTGTAATATGTCTGACGTTACTTCAACATAGCTGGCTAATTAGTCTAACTTTAACAACTAGTTATCATTTTGTTTCAGTTAAAACAAAAAAAAATTCTCAGAAATTTGCCGAAAATGCAAACTTATCCTACATCAGAGAAAATTGATTTGATTCTATTAGTTGGTGAATACAGTGTGCATTCACCAATTAATAAAATACTTAAATGCTCCTGATTTTACCTAGTCTGGTTTTTTTTATGGGGATATGTTAAAAACAGTGTTTAGAAAACTTGACCAACTGCATTGTAGCTGCTTTTCGAGGTAGAACTCCATATATACCTTTTAAAATGAAAATATCCTTTTGAAGACAATCATTTTATGCAGTTAACAAGAAAGGACGCACTTTGAGCATTTAATTTCATCTAGCTAACTTTTGTCACATAATTATAGGTTTATATCTAGTTTTAATTTTGTTATAATTAAAATATGTTTTAAACGTGTATCTTTTTATTACCGTTGAGTATTTTACTCTACAATCTTTAATTTTTGTTAAATTAACAAAAGGTATATCACACAGACGCAAAAACGTAAAAATTAAAATATCTAGCAAAATCTTTGTCTGAAGGGTAGGCAACCTTAATAATATTTTGAAGATATATAAATTCCCTATTGAACACCGGAAAAATATACTATTTAAAATAAAGGAGTAACTTGCTTTTAAAGGTGACTAATGTTCCATATTAATTTTGTCTCACTCTGTATAACTTGTCGAGTCAAATTTCAATTCGGTTTAACATACAATGGTTACTTTAATTAAATATCAAGGTAAAATTTAGGTCGGTATTATCGAAATTTAAAATTTACATTTAATTTTCACAAAATGAGAAATAGTAAAAATTCTTAGATTTTAGGTATATGCTTCTTCAATAAAACTCGGCTTTATTTTTTTCCTAGAATCCGAAAATCAATTAATATATAAGGTGTTCCGTTAGAAAAAATACAACTTTGATGTGTAACTTTTTTTGAGGACACCCTGTATAATTCTATATATTTTTATAAATTGCTTTCGGTTAACCTGAATATGCTGCCAAAAATTCATTTCGATATAAACTACCGTTCTCCTTGGAGCTTCCGCGGCGTATGAGAGGCACCACCCTGTATGTCAAATTCTAAGTTATATTTAAGCACCCTGTAAATATATACTACTGCTTGAACTATAGTAACCTAAAAACTGTTTAATAATATAACCACTCCACCGCTCTCACCACACAAAAGCAAACATAATAGAAAAACTTTCCTTCATACACCGTCCGCTCCATCCGTTCCATCCTCTGCTGCGACAGCATAACGTAATCACGCCGTTTTTTCGTTACAGGAACGACACCCGGGAGCCCTCCCAGCGTCCAAGCCCTGGTAGGGAAAACCGTCGCGCTCCCCTGCGACCTGACGCCCTCCACCCCCAACGACAGCGTGGTGCTGGTGGTGTGGTACAAGGACGAGCACACTCCGATTTACAGGTAAGCTCGGGGAATTTATGGCGGTTCGGGGTACAACGGGGACGGGAGAATTTGTAATTTGGAGAGTTCTCGCCGTGGAAACTTAATTATGTGTATGGTTATAAACATTTTCGGTGCGTCGCGTCGGTGTGATGCGGTCTCATTATTTTTTATGGATATTGTGGAAGGCGTGTAAAGTCTGGCTTTGTTTTACTTTAATGCTAATGTTGAAAATCATGAATTAAATAAGTAACTTTTAATTTGTTTGTTTTTATTACATTCACTATTTCTTGTTATGTTTTAAGTCTTCTAACAGACTACATTAAAATTTATTAAAAAAAACCTTGGTATTGCACCACTGATACAGAAATCTACTTAAAAAAGGCGTCCATGGCCCGTATTCTGTAACGTTGACATAAAAACGTTACGCTTTCAAAGCGGTGAGCGCAAGCAGGGCCGTATCTGGGGGGGTGTTTTGGGGGTTCAACCCCCGGAATTATGGCCGAAAATTTTTAAAAAGTAATGATCATTAAGTAAGTAAGTAAGAAGGAAACAAAAAAGAAGAAGAAGAAGATGGATGAATATCAATGACTAAAGAATACAAGGATATGTAACGCCCATATACGGGCTGCAGCAGAATTTGTGACCTTAGACGCCAACTTTTTAGACATAAACGACATCATCAGCTGGTCATCAGCGACAATTTTAGCGATTTTTAATAGTTGGTTGTGTGTAGTGAACTTTGTATAAACTTTATTACAATGGTAATTTGTTCAGCTTTCAAGTGTAAAAGGCGCAATGTAAGAAAGAGCCAGAAGTTACGTTTTATAGGAAAATAAATAGTCCCCTACAACTTTTTAGCGTTTTTTTATTGAATTCGATAATTATTTTCCTGATATTATAATATGTACTTGATATGTACTATACGTCGATACTAGTTATGTACCTTTTGTCAACATTTTAATACCTTTTTTTGTAATTAATTAGTATGATACCACCCGATACACCATAGGCGTAGTGAAAACATATAATATCAAAAATATAAATATCCCTTCAAGCGGCAATATTATGTAAAATATGTGCCACGGCACTGTTTGGAAGAATGGTCACAGTTTGGTCTCGGATGCTATTTGTCCTTGTATTCTTTAGTCATTGATGAATATACATTATACACTCTAACATCACTTTTCCACTTTGAAAGCAAATGTCATTTTCGATTTTCGACTTTCAACATCCAAGTGTTTAAAACAGCAAGTTTGACAAGGACAAGATTTTGAATTTTGTGTATTTTGCTGGTCATTAACGTGATTAGCGTTTGTTATCGTTCTGCTATTAGACAAAGAATTCTTGGACTATGACACTTTAGCGGCAGAACTAGACTTGTACCGGCAAAAATGGAAGCAGCTACCTGCAGTCGACCGACCTAAAAACGCCATCGAAACGATAATCGGAGTGTAACCAGTGTATATTTCCAAATATATACATTTTATTAATGATCTTAGCAACTCTACCAGTGTCAACAGCTACACCAGAAAGGTCTTTTTCAACCCTAATGCCGCAACCCCACATATTCGGCGATCCCCATATACATATCAAATCTATACGGATCATCGCCTATCCCTACAATGTGTTGGAGTTAGAGACAACTAGATAACCGGTCCATGTATATTTCACATAAGTTCGTCTGTAAGAAAAACGCTGACGCAATAGTGCAACTCCAAAATTCCGAATATCGATTAGTTTTAGCTTGGCCTTGTGGAACGCGTGGTCGAACGGGAGCGCAAACACGATCCTCATTTCTGTGCCTCATTTCTTATCCAACTGTCTTTGTGTTCGCATCGCGAACGAAGCGCGAACGAAAGCCGTACGAAGCTGTACGAATGAATAGCTTATGCTCTGATTGGTTTAGTTATCCGATCGATAATTAAAAATTCACGCTTGCGCACAACGCTTGTGTTTCACTAACTGATCGAAGATTTATATAATCATTTCACCGGCTCGGCTTCACAGAATGCAGTTTGGAGTCAATATATGTTAGTTAATATATATATGGCGATCCCCGATCGGTGCTTCGCCGATTTCCAATGTGTGTGGATGAGGAAGTCGGAGTTCGGCGACGAGAACGAGCGCTCGTCTCTATGTTGTTGCTATCAGAGCCCGCATGTGCGGTTGCGGCATAAGACGATTGAAGGACTTCCTACGTAACTCTAGAGGTCAGGAGCGATTGACAAATAAATATCGATATCGAAGAGGTAGTCAATCGTTTTTCCAGGGAAAAGACCAGTTTATCCTTTAAGATTAATAATTTTTACCTGTTACTTTTTATTTTCAATTAAGATTTGAGTGTAGCCCAAAGCGATTTTTTTATTATGCTTTTTTCCTAGCAGCTTTTGTACCCCCCTCCAAGCCAAACCCCCACCCCGAAATTTTGGTCTAGATACGGCCCTGAGCGCAAGTATTCGATCAGCGAAACGCAAGGCAGTCGATTTTGGTATTTTGGTATAAGCGTTGAGCACATATTGGCAACATCACAATGTCTAATGTAGCTAATAGTCAAAAGTTGATAATTCACGGATGTAACAATAAAAAATGTCAATGTTACATGAACCTATTGTTGAATTATGTCAAGGTATTTTTCTATGGATATGTCATTATTCTTATTCTACGAAGAAAATGTTGAAGACTCTTCACAACATTTTCGATGTTTTGAACAATAATTATAGCTGCCAAGTCGTAAATTATCAATTACTTATTGAGGAATTTATAGAAGTAGTAATTTTCAATAAAGAACATGATTTAAGGTAACTGTTTTCAAAGCGCTCAGCGCAATCAGTAAAGTCGCTAAGCGCGTCAGACGAAAATACCGAAATCGCTAATTAAGTGCGCGCTCTGGGAAAATTAACGTCATATACGCTGAACGTCTAAAAGCACTTAGCGTTTTCAAAGTTACACAATACGGGGCCCATATTTCTCAAAGAGTCCTGATTTGGAAATTATAAAGTAGAAAAAAGACTCAAAACCCAGGGTGCTTCAAAAAGCATGTGCCATCTCTCGTGAAGAGATTCGTCACGTAAAAATAACATTCATATCAACATACACAGAGTGTTAAAGTATTAATATTATTTCGATTTATTATAATTTTCTTCCAAGTACTTTTAGTGATTCGAATGAAATTTTGAGGATAAAAGATACTATAAGAAAAAAAAACATGTGCGACACTGACCTCTTTTTGATACCAAAATTGTGTGAGCCAATTAAAAGTTATTTCTTGATATTTTGTCGAATTAGACCTCCTTGATGAGACAAACGCAATTTTATTAATGACAATTAATAAAATTAAAATAAATTATGTATTTTTTCCATAACAACTGTTAAAATTGCCTTATATCTATCAAAAATAGCAGATAAAATAGCACATTAACCGCAAGGGCAGATTAAAAAATGATACTTTAACAGCGAGGATAGATTAAAAACTATATTTCTCTCGCACGTTTTTTAATTGCTTCCATTTTTGAAAAATTTTGTACTTTTTTTCGTAAGTTATTCGGGATTTAAATGGAAGTAGTTTGGATATGGCATTTGTCGCCTCAGCCTGAATATTTGTTGGTAATTTACTTATTTTGTTTTGAGCCATTTCTGGCTCCAATTCAATCAGCAATCGACACGAAAGAGAATTAAAAAATATTGACTCAAAACCGACAAAAAGAGACAGCTTTATTTATTTGTCAAAATATTTTTTCTACTCCTAATAAATTCCTTGGAATAATAATTTCTGAATATTTTTTAAAACGTAACTCGCTATGGAAAAAAATATTGTTTTATACACGACGATAAAATTGCATTTTCGTCGACCGAAAAGATGAATTAACGAGCGATGAAATCGCGAGTGAATTTATTTCGGAAGAAATAATTTTACATATAAAATACCATTTTATCGTCTTGTATAAAAAATAACTATTACCTAATTTATTATTAAATATTATTAATATTTGTTTATTATTACTATTAATCTAGCCTACGGCAATTTCAAATAAAAAAGTAATGGTATATATAGATAATTACAAAAAACCGAGGGGTAAACCGCAGAGGAATTATGGTGTACACTATGAAGGAATTCTACAGGAATTCCAAGGAATTACGAGGAATTCCAAGGAATTCCATAGGAATTACTAGGAATTCCAATTATTTCCGTAAGAATTCCAAGGAATTCCTTAGAAATTTAGAGGAATTCCACAGGAATTAAGAGGAATTACAAGCAACTTTATAAAAATTAACGAACATTAGTAACCATGAATACTATAATAGGTAGTACTAAATTTAAAGAAAAACGTTTTGCAGGCGATTTTTTACTATCCGTTTTTCGTTTTCGCTCCAAAATTTCCCAATATCAAATATCTACAGGTTAGATATTCTTTTAATTTAATATTGTACCCTCGATTATATATCTAAAATATTTTCCAATAGTACGGCCGAACCACCCCCGAGAGATCTAGTTATAACGTTCCCTGATTTCGCCATTTTAAAGAAATCCTCATAAGATTTTTTTATTCAGTACTCCAGAAAGTGTAAAGTTGATTTTTTCATTTCCTCGGAATAATACCTAGGTATATACTATAGGAAAATTAATACAACTTTAGGTGCACTTCATCAATGATACCATGCGTAATCTTATGGAATTTACTGGTGATCGTATTATGACGTGCAACTGAAGTTTTATTAATTTCCTTTCCTATAGATACGAGTATAACTAGGTACCTCTCATTTTCAAAAAATCCCGAGAAAAATTAATTTTAATAAGTAAGTGCCGACATATTTCCAGTATTTTTACCTCATGATCCCCTATTGGTACTAAAATTTAACTAAAAAAACGTAAATCTCGTAATAGTACTTTTTATTGTTAGATCTAGTACTTATAGAGACATTAGACATTTATAAAAATCACCAGAAAATTCATAGCGGAACTGCGAAACCGAGGTGGCAACGCTGGTTCAGACTGAAAGAGTTACCGAGTTCGTACCAAG